TTGCACATGAGGTGAAACAATTTCTCTCTCAACATTTTAGTATGAAGGATATGGGTGAGGCGTATAGTCATTGGCATAAGATTCAAGGGATAGGTCTCAACATATTTTGGGACTATCTAGGAACCTTATTAATAAAATCTTGAGAGATTTAGGATGAGAGATTGTTCACCTAGTGTTGCACCCATTGTTAAGGGTGACAAAATTCAATCTGAACCAATGTCCTACACTTGAGATTGAAAAGGAACAATGAAAACTATTCCTTATGCTCAGTTGTGGAAGCCTAATGTATGCTCAAGCTGTACTAGACCTACATCGCTTTTGTAGTTGGCATGTTAGGAAGATATCAAAGTAAACCAGGTTTGGATCATTGGCGAGCTGCAAGAAGGTCATGAGGTATCTTCAAGGAACTAAAGGTTTCATGCTTACTTATAGAGGTCTGACATTTTAGAAGTCGTCGGATATTCAGACTCAAACTTCGTGGCTGCTCTTGATTCTCGAGAAATCAACATCCGGATATGTTTTTATGCTGCCAGAGGTGCTATATCTTGGAGAAGTGCCAAACAATCTTTAGTTGCCATTTCTACCATGGAAGCTGAGTTTGTTTCATGTTTTGAGGCCACTACACAAGGTATTTGGTTGAGAAGTTTCATTTCTGGGCTTGGAGTTGTGAGTCTATCTCTAGGCCAATAAAGTTATATTGTGACAATTCAACTGCTGTATTCTTGCTAAGAAATAATAGAGTGAGGGAAGTCGAAAACACATCGACATTAAGACTTAGTAAAAGGGACCACTAAAGCCAAAGAAGTGCTCATTGAACACATACATACCGAGCAAATGATTGTGTGATCCTCTCACAAAGGCATGTCACCAAAGACGTTCAAGGATATGTTGTTCAAATGGGACTATGTCCGCTTTGCCATATGAGAGGTAATACTTTCATTGTCTGAAACTTTGTAATTAGTTTGTTTTCTCTTTTAAGTGTATACATTTTGGTTGGAGACAAACAAACATTCTAGAGGACCTGGAACAAACATTTGAGGTTTGTCATAAAGTGATATTCCACATTTAAGGTTTATTTAAAAAGAGAAAAATGATTGTAATACAGGAAGGTAATACCGTTTAAAAGGGACTTACCGCTATGATTCATGTAATTTTTCCTCTTTCTAATTAAAATACCGCATATACATCTCTTGTTGTTTTGGATTATATTATAAAAGTTTGGACCAAGTGGGGAGATGTTAGACTTTTGCATTATGGTCCTATACTTTAATATAATTAAGTTATGGTCCTACACTTTTATACTGATGTAGACGATGTGTGGTCATACGAGTTGTCTTTCTCTTGGGAGTTGTCTTTGAGAAAGACAAATGCATATAAAAAGAGACTTTACAAGTCCCCATTTAACGCAATTTTTCCTTAGATTCCCAAAACCATCATTCTAAATTGCAGTCAGTGGAAGACTCTGTATTTTGAGAAGAAGCAAGAAGACTAAACAATAATTGCTATGGCTGGAGGTTTGTCATTTATTTTCACATATATTCTATGGAGATTCTATGATGAAATTGATTGTATTATCAACTTTTATAGAATATTGGAATAGAAATGTATTTTACAAAGGATACTAAAAAAACAAAAGTTTAGAATATTTTGTTGGGAAATATTTTTATTTATGTAATATATATCAAAATAGGGTTTTTTTGTTTTTTTTTTTTTTTTTTTTTTTTTTTTTTTGGTCTTTTAGTATAAGGCATACATTAAAACAACCCATTATAAATTTACCCAAAGATTATCTTCCGTTAACCATTTACATTTTTTTTAAATTCATACTAAAGAATAAAAAATAGTATATTAATGAAAATTTAAAAAAAAAATCCCAAATTTAATTAAAAATCCCTAAAACCTCATATGTTCCTAAGGCCAAAATTCAAATCAATGGCACTTTAATAGTTCAGATGACCCATAAAAGCCAATGAAGCTTATCGTACTACTGAGACTAAATTAGATATCATGTCCGACAATACGATCTAGTGATCCGGTCGAGATAACTTTTTACGCTATTGCAATTGCAGTTAAATACAATCTCGATTACATATTATAAGGTCATATATTGGCCAATCGTGTACGGCAGTCCACACTAATGATATTATTTTTTTTGATTAAGTTGATTAATTAATTTTTTATTGAGTAATTTTGCAATCGTTAATAGGTTAATTTGTAATAATGAAAGTAATATATACATCAATAACAGTTTTATTGGAGAAAAGGAGGATAATATGCTCCGTTTGTTACACTATTTAGATTATTATATGTTATTCTATTTGAATTAAAAAATAATATGTTTGTTTATTTATTGGAATCATTATTCTGAAAATTAATCTAAATAAACAACATTTTTTTGTCTAAATATGAAAAGAGAAGAGGATGTTTTCAGATTATCAACTATATTCAACTCAAACATTTTTCTGTCTAATTTATTCAACTCAAAACATTTTTTTTCTTTCTCTCTTTCTCATTTTTGTCTCCTTTAAAAATGAAAAAATTCACCCAAGACCACCACTGCTTGCTAGCAACCACCGCCTGTTGACGTGGTCGGAATAGCGATTATGTGTTGATCTGGCCATTTTCGGCCAAATCTATAGCCGGATTCTGTCGTATAGACTATCTGGCTGTAGATCTGGTGGAAACAGTCAATCACGCACGAATAGCCAAATCAGCCTGTCGTACGCATTCCGATGACTGCAAATGTCGTTCGACGATAATGGCGGTGGCGGCTGTCCTCTTGGGTAGCTGGGGTGCTTAGTTAATTAAACTTTTATTGTGAGGATGTTTAGGTATATTAACAATGTCAGGGTTAAAAAATAATAATAAATATTTTCAAAAGATGTACCAAAAATAATTATTGTCTTAAAAACTTTTTTTTTTAAATATACTAAACAACTATTCTAGCATTTTATCAAACTTTAATATAATTTTAAATATTGGCCAAACACATTATCAGAATTTGATCTATTCGACTTAATCCAACTCAACTCAACTTAAAACAATTTTTTAGAATAACATTTTTCAAATAATCTACTAAACAGGGCCATATAATTATGTTATTTTTTAGAAATTTTAATATGTTAAAAGTCTAGTTTAACCTTTCCTTAAGTTAAAGTTAACGGTCTAATGTTACAAGAGAGGGTGAGAATGATAGTTTTCGAACTAAAGGTAGCCACTTAATTTTATGTAGTTAAAGGGTGAAACTGTAATTATCCTTTTTTAAAGTTTAATTAGAGCAAGTAAAAGACTGCCAAAGCAGAGAATGATGAGAAGCATGAATCATCACATGGTTGCATATTTCGATGTAAATTATCAGAACCTCTTCAGTTACAAACTATATATTATATAAATAATGCCAAATTAAGGAATAATTAGTTTCATGCAGTAAAGCTTATGAAGAAAAACAATTATGACTTTCGTGGCCATATAATAACAAAATATGTAATGTAACATCATATAATAAGGTTAAAATCTTATATGATTCTGATTGAGAGAGAGAGAGAGAGAGAGAATTTAATGGCCCCTTAGGGTCCTCAACCACAAAATAATATTGCCTTCCCATTAATTCCTTTATTTTTGAGATCTTATCTCAAACAAAACATCAATCAATGCAAGTGTGTTTCCATTGCTTTATTATCCTCTTGAGGGGCCTCATTTTTTTTATTAATTTTCCAGGGTCACTATAGAGCTATAGCTTTACCTGAAAGGACCACCACCTACTCTTCCCATGCCAACACCCACCACAATATCAACAAGTCTAAATTTTATATTCTTTGGGATTTTGAGAGTCTACGGCTTCGTTTGGTTGGATTTTGGGAATACTACTTTTAGTATTCCCAAAAAAGTTAAACAGTAAAATACCCAAAAACTCATAATATTATTCAACTTTATTTAACTTTTTTAAACCCCATAAATTTGTTAATTTAATTAAATACCCCTAAATATTTTTAATATTTTTGTTACAGCGACTCCGGCCACCCTCCGGCGGTGGTGGTCGGCTGTCCGTATTTGAGGGTGGGTTGGAGGTGTTTTTGTTAACTTTTAATGTTTTATTATAGGGGGTGTTTTGTAAAAAAATAAACATAGAGGGTATTTTATTAATTTGTAAATCTTACATCGTAATACCCGCCCAATTCAACTTTTTTTTAACTTTTTTCAAAAAACTTTTCTCAAAAACCCAAAATTTTGAACCAAACGAAGCCTACCTTTCGGAAAAGGTCGTTTATGATAAATTTTATGTAACTTTAGCGGATTTCGACAGATTTTTGAGTTTGTTTTTAATTAAACCAAACATTAAAAACATGTTTCATTCATATTCCTTTGAGAGTTTTCCAGTTATTAAGATAACCCTACAGTTTTGAAAATATGTCGAAAAAGGTCGTTTCTGATAAAATTCATAGAATTTTAGTTAATGTCGAGAGATTCTTTGGCTTGTTTTAAATTAAACCAAATATTAGGGGAGGCTGGTGAAATTTTATTGACTAGTCTAAATTTCATTTAATTTTCCTTTGAGAGTTTTTTTAAATACCAAGACAACCTTGTTCTTTAGTTTATCTTTCAATGAACCAAAAATTAGGAAAGGTCGATGAAATTTTATTCATATTCCTTTAAGATTTTATCTTAGTACGAAGGCAACTTTCTGGTTTCAAAGATAAATTGAATTGCAGATAAATTTTCTAAAACTCTTAGAGGATTATCGAGACAGATTGAATAGAACTCTTAATACAAAGACAGTTTTCTGGTTTCAAAAATAGGTCTAATAAAGGCCATTTCTGATCAATTTTATAAAATAAACATTTATAGAATTATAGAGATTTATGACAACTATTCTCAAAATCCCAAACACAGATTCTTGATTTGTAATTAAGCCAAACTCTAGAGGAGGCAAATACAATTATGAAATTTCTCTTTTACCAACAAAAATTCTTTAAACTCTCCTTTTGGCCTCAACTTTTTTTTCCAGCAGTCAATCACTCCAAAATTCCCTACAACAACTTCTCTCTTTCTTTCTCTCCCTCCATCCATCTTCATAAAATCAATCTTCATACAAGCTTGAGTTGAGTTTCTTTCAGGAATGGAAATGGATATATTCCCATATAATCTTCATTTAAGTGGCTCCCCCAAGAAGAAAGATTCCCAGAAAAACCAGCCCTCAACAACACAAACTCCTTCTCCTCATCATCATCAACACCATGAAGAAGAAGATGAATCTCTCAATTTACGAAACCTCTCCAAAGTTATTCTTCCTCCTTTAGGCGTTTCGAGCTTCAACCAGTACCAGACTCACTCCAAATGGATCGTCGTGCCCATGGATTCGAGATACCGGTAAGTTAATATTTACTTGCTGCATGAAAAACATTCCAAATATATGAGTTTAATTAAGTTATCTGTTTTCTGCATTATAAGCGTTTTTGTGAGTTTTTTTTTTCTTTTCATTTTGTCTTGTAAAAGTGTTTGCATGAGGAACAAGAAGGACAAGTAAGTCCGGACGAAAGTTGAGTGGACATTGTTTTGACTCGTTTCAACCACGAGTTGACTCAAAGAATACCTTTCACATATTAATTTTAATATAATAATTAATATTTTATGTTCCCACTGAAACTGTTTCCTGAATTTAAGTGTACTCTTCTTCCATAAATTAACCTGGATTGGCCCAAGCCAACCTATCAGGTACATAGAGTTTCGCTATATTCCAGTTAAAAAAATATACATATATATTCTGCTTTCTTAATAAATTTAATATGGTTTTATTTTTCAATTAATAGTTATATTTACTGACAAACTTTTGCATTTCCACAACAAAAATATGTATTTATAAATAGATTATTATTAATAAATAATAACTATGCAAAATAATAAAACTAAACCATATAATATTTTGGTTCCGAAAATGCTTAAGATTATCCATATTTCTCTAATATTGTTTCCCATTTCTGCATTGAACATCAGGCAAAAATTTATTAAAAAAAAAAAAAAATTCTATTATACACCTAATTGGTCAAATAAAATCGTTTCTATACATATATAAAGAATCATTTTCTTATGCAACATAAGAAAACTGATAAAAGACAAAATACTGTATAATAATTTTCTAGAGCAAAAAATTTAGCCAAAATTGTTCTTTAACATGTTCGCATTTGCGAATATATATATATATATATATATATAGATGAATTATTTGAATAAATCGTTATATATATATATATATATATATATGAATTATTTGAATAAATCGTGAATAAATGTATAATTATTGTTAAATATGCAGGGGGTGGGAGTCATTTATGGTGGTTTTGGTGGCATATTCAGCATGGGTTTATCCCTTTGAAGTAGCATTTCTAAACTCTTCACCAAACAAGAAACTCTACATTGCAGACAACATTGTTGATCTATTTTTCGCCATTGATATCGTCTTGACATTTTTCGTTGCTTACATTGATCCAAGAACTCAACTCCTCGTTCGTCACCCTAAGAAAATTGCTATGAGGTTTGTCTCTTTTACTTTATTAATTTAATATTTTTTTATATAATAAACCTTCTATTAAAAGAAACTATCTCATCATATCAAACAATGCCAATGAAACTTAAAATTATATATAACTGACAATAATAAAACCCTTTTTTGACCAGATCTAGAATTGAATTATTAACTTTAATTAAAATAATATGATCATTAAATTTCTGGTTTGGGGTTATGGGACCAACCGAATTATGAAATGGACCTTGGAGATGAAGAATTAAATTTGTTCTATGCTAGAGTTTGATGTAGCAGGGCAGTGAAGTGGACCAATTTCTGAAAACCATTAAAGTTGTGGAATCTGACTAACCAGTTCCTGGTCGGCAGCCACACCACTTTAAGTGAGCTATAAAGGGTCGTGTAGTTTAGTCAAACTGGGCTCTATTCAGCTCATACTCATCATAATGCCCTGACCCACTATAAAGTGTCAGTTTCTAGAATCTGTGGGCTAAATTGTGTTTCCAAATTTTAGAGGAAAATAAAATTATCCCAAAACTATATCTAACAGGTCGGCTGGAGCATAAATGTCAATTGGGCTGGGCCAAGTGGTAGACACAAGCCCAATCAAGCTCAAGGCCCATTTTGAGTTTACCATTTACTGAGGACGAACTTACCATTTGCCCCCAACATAAAATTAGCTGGGCCTAAGCTCACTCTATAACAATGGGCCCCAGATGGCCTACTGGAAAAAAAATGACTAATTGATTTTGTATGTTTAGGTACCCCCCAGGCACCAACATGACTACTGAATGTCAGTTTTTAGAAATTTTGGGCTACATTGAACTCTACCCAAACCTGAAGGGGAAAAATATTATCAAAAAACTTTATCAAACAGGTCAGTTTGAGCAGAAATGTCAATTGGGCTGGGCCCTGCTTACCTTTGCTTAAACAGAAAATTAGCTGGGCCCAACATATTCTTTCATCACGGCTTCGGTCCTCTAAGGACCTACTTGACTCCAATGAGTGATTTTATTTATAAGCATGAAATGAATTAATTGATGTGGTATGTTTAGGTACATTTCAACATGGTTCTTAATGGATGTGGCATCAACCATTCCATTTGAGGCACTAGGCTACTTGATCACCGGAAAAGAAAAGGTGGGTCTATCTTACTCGCTCCTAGGAATCCTTCGGTTCTGGCGACTCCGACGGGTGAAGCAACTCTTCACCAGGTTGATTATCTTTTCTAAATATTTAAGGCTTTAAGCACAATTTTAGTGATCACCAAGTCCTTAACTCACATTTCGCATTTGTATTTATAGACTTGAGAAAGACATCAGGTTCAGCTATTTCTGGGTCAGATGTGCTAGACTACTATCTGTAAGTGAAATTTCAAACCGAGTCTCATTCTCGAGGGACAAGTCAAAGTCTTGGGTAGAATTGATATAATATCTTACAAATTAATATATAAATGATGTAATATATTTGTTATGCTTATAATTTCTATAATTACAATCGAATTTTATGAAAAATGAAGTGTAATATTTGATGTAGGTGACATTATTTCTAGTCCATTGTGCTGGATGCCTCTACTATTTGCTAGCTGATAGATATCCACATCCAGGAAAGACATGGATAGGAGCATGGAACCCTAATTACAGAGAAACAAGCCTCTGGATCAGATACATTTCAGCCATATATTGGTCCATCACCACCATGACCACAGTTGGTTATGGTGATCTCCATGCTGTCAACACTGTTGAAATGATCTTCATCATCTTCTACATGCTCTTCAACCTTGGCCTAACTGCTTACTTAATCGGCAACATGACAAATTTAGTCGTCGAAGGAACTCGTCGCACAATGGAATTCGTAAGTACAGTTAAAAAGTTCTACAATACACTGGTTCAGTTCAAGCGAGAATCCTAATTTATTTTTTCTTATAATTTTGCAGAGGAATAGTATCGAAGCAGCATCAAATTTCGTTTCAAGAAATCGGTTACCTCCAAGATTGAAGGTTCAGATATTGGCTTATATGTGTTTAAGGTTCAAGGCTGAGAACTTGAATCAACATCAACTAATTGAACAACTTCCAAAATCAATATGCAAAAGCATTTGCCAGCATTTATTTTTTCCTACTGTGGAAAAAGTCTATTTTTTCAAGGGTGTTTCCAGGGAGATACTCCTGCTCCTGGTACGAAATTAATTTAAATTTGCAGTCCAATAAACTTGTACCAATTCAGATACATTTTTCATTTGTGTAATCTATAACAGGTTGCAAAGATGAAAGCGGAGTACATTCCGCCAAGAGAAGATGTGATAATGCAAAATGAAGCACCGGATGATGTGTACATAATTGTTTCAGGAGAAGTTGAGATAATTGATTGTGAAATGGAGAAGGAGATTTTTGTTGGGACTCTTCAAACGGGTGACATGTTTGGGGAAGTTGGTGCACTTTGTTGCAGGCCACAAAATTTTACTTATAGAACAAAGACACTTTCTCAACTCTTGAGGCTCAAAACCAATGCATTGATTGAAGCAATGCAAAGCAAACAAGACGATAATGTTGCCATTCTTAGAAACTTCCTGCAGCATCACAAGAAGCTGACGGATTTGAATATAGGGGAGTTATTGGTGGAGGGAGGTGGAGAAGAAGATGGAGATCCAAATATGTCATTCAATCTGCTAACAGTTGCTAGTACAGGCAATGCTGCTTTCCTTGATGAGCTTCTCAAGGCAAGATTGGATCCTGATATTGGAGACTCCAAAGGAAGAACCCCATTGGTACGTTCATCTGGTTTACTAAACACTTTCTTCCGTTGTTAATTTAAGAAATAGGTGACCATTTCTTGAGATATAGTAGCCTTAAACTGAGTCTAAAACCCATTAACATGTTCATTTCCATCTTATGAGGCTCAATTTGCAGTTGTTCCTTATTTCTTAAGCTGATAACGAAAAAATGTTTGGTAAATTCATTTCAAAAGTGTTGATGTCCTTAACTAATGGCATATTTTAGTTCTAACCCTGTATCATAATAAGAGATTCTACATAAATTCTATAACCATACATTTGATTCATTATTCCATTTTCTTTTGTTTAATTAATGTATGGAATTTTTGCAAGTCTAGGCAAATTATTTAGCTATATATGTAAGCATCATTTAATGTTTCTATTTCCTTAAAAAAAAAAAAAATACCCCCTTAACAAGACTTTTTCTTGTATATGTTTGTGATTTATTATCAGCACATAGCAGCAGCCAAAGGGCATGAAGAGTGTGTTTTAGTTCTCCTGAAGCATGCCTGCAACATACACTTACGAGGTAAATCAACTACCCTTTTTTTTTTTTTTTCCAATATATGTTTATGATAGCTCTTTTAAGTTAAAATTATAACTATAAGAAATTTTATATTTGCATTGTACAAAAGTTTGTATATAGTTAGTTCAAAAATTTATCAAAAACCTTCCTAGAAGTTAAGATTAAGTTGTACAACTACCCCATGTTTCAAAACTTTCTTGAAGTTTCATAAAATATTTCGAAATCCTCCCTTGTCCACCTATTTTATAATAATATATATGATGTGATAATTTCAAAAGTCTTATCCGGAATTTTGTATATTCCTCTTTCCATTGACATGTAAACAATGCATTAATTTGGTATCTAATAAATGATAAGATAACGCTATATAAGACGATGTGTATTTAGAGATGAAAAATAATTTAAGATTGATACTTAGTGACTCAGTTTTTTATGCAAATCTCGTTTACTATAATAATTAAGAGTTTGACAGTTAACATTAAAAGACCAAAATATTCAAAAAAATTTGTATCCCAAACTTTGGAATTTTATCTTTTATTATTTACTAGAGCCAGTTAATAATTTGTGAATAGTCCACATCTTAAAATTTTCATTTCTTTTTTTAAGTTACAATATGACCTTCATAAGACAGTTATCTAATAATCACAATACATTGCATTGTAGATATAAATGGAAACACTGCATTGTGGGAAGCTATATCATCAAAGCATCATTCCATATTTCGGATTCTCTACCATTGTGCTGCAATTTCCGACCCTTACACTGCCGGCGACCTCTTAAGCACGGCTACAAAACGAAACAACCAGACAGTGATGAAGGAACTCTTGAAATCTGGATTGAACATCGATTCGAAAGATCGCCATGGCTTGACCGCAATACAAGTTGCCATGGCAGAAAATCATGTGGACATGGTAAACTTGCTAGTGATGAATGGCGCAGATGTTGTTGATGCAGACACTTACGAATTTTCTTCGACAAGATTGAACGAGATGCTTCATAAACGAGAAATTGGACACCGGATTACGGTGCATGATAACACAACAAATGAAGTGATTTTAAAGAAAATTGAAGAAGAAGGTGAGTGTGGAAAATCAAAGGGAGTAAATTATGAAAGGGTGAGTATATATCGAGGACATCCTGTGGTGAGGAAAGAGCATTGTTGCCATGAATCTGGAAGGTTAATTAGGTTGCCAAATTCACTTGAGGAGCTCAAGAACATTGCTGGTACATCTTCTAACCTGTCCACACTCAATTTTACTTCAATTTGCTTGATAGTTATGCAATTGCCTTTCTTACGTATTTTATAATAGGGTCGGGCTATAATAACTTAAATTTGACTACAATCCATGGATTAATTACTAACCATAAATTAGGACAATCAAAAAGAGGAACATGGAACTTGATCATTGGATTTAACGGATTGGTGGCGATTAATTAGATTATTTAAAAGTTAATATAGCATAAACCTAGTAAAAATTAATAATATTAATGGTCTATGACAAAACTTAAGATTAAACTATTTGAATTGGGACACTATCAGTTTAAGCAAGAGTAACTTGAAAATTTGATTTATCTTAGATTGGGACAGAAATTGCTAATTATGGATCTAATGCAATCCAATGAACTCGAGAAGAAAGTTGAATTTTTTTTTTTTCTTTTAATAACTTTGGTAACTTTTAAGCCATTAAAATGTAAATGAATTTATGAATATATATTAGTGTCACAAATTAAAATAAAATATTTAATTTCATATAGCTTTAACCCATAGGTAAAATGTCACAAAATATTAATGGTATATACCACATGATTAGAAATACTTTTGATATTTACAGAAGTTCTATCATATAGCCTAAGAATTATGCAGAATTTCATTTTATATAAATGATAAAGATTTTAATTTAGGAGTCACAAAAGAATTAATTTAGCGGATTTATTTGAGAGATTTCTCCCATAATTAGAAGTAATAAAGAACAAAAGAGCTGTATATAAAAAGAAAAAAAGGTACCCTAAAACTTTTGTTAGGATTATTTAAACTATTTACATTTTGAATTGACGTGTTTATTTTGATTTTTGATTTTTTCCCTTTCTCCGTAATAGGTGAAAAGTTTGGGTTTGACGCAAGTAATGCAATGGTGACAAATGAAGAAGGATCAGAAATCGATTCAATTGAAGTGATTAGAGATAATGATAAGCTTTTCATAGTAGAAGATACAAACATCTAAATGCAATCTAATGAAATTGTTTATTATATATCCTTAGAAGGAGCAAAAATTGATTCGGATTAGAGATAACTATAAACTTTTCATAGTTGAAGCTCTCTTATAGTAAAGTGTACAAAAATTAAACTCAAATAGCAAATGGAAAGCTCTCTTAATAATCTTTCGTGGTTTAGAATTTATCTTTTTGTTCATTTTGTTCTCATTTATACTTACATAAACTTATTACTATTTAAAGGACGTTATTGGATAAATTATTTTAATGATATCATTCTTATTTATCAAAATAAGCAAATTCATAACATAATAAATAAATCAATTGTTAGTTTAATTTGATGGTATCATCATTTGATAAATAAAAAGAGTATGATGAATGAATCACATTAATTATCTATATATTCTCTATGATTAAAAGGTTCAAATTATCTTCATCGTACGTATGAGGGAACCACTTAATAATACAAGTATAATTTTATAATATGCAACCTATAATATATACGCATCAATCACAGAGTTATTCATGACAAAATTTCAATTTGTTTTATAAAGGCCTCAAACGTGCTTGATTTTATCTTCTTCTTAATTTGAATAAACTGTGATCAATCCACATATTGATCAAATAAATTCTATTTGAAAACTAAAACTAAAATAATTAAGAGAGTAAAACTAACTCTTTATATATCAGCTGAACAACATCTTCCCACCTGAAGTTTGCCCTAACGAAAATTTACTACCCAAAAAGTTTGAAAACGATAATTTTGTAGGAACCATGTCGTGGCAACTGCGGAATAATAACAAAAAATTTCTTGCCATGGCACAGCTTTTAGGACACGATCAAAGATGGCAGCAGAAATACAAAAACATTTACAACATGGATCGTTCCTTAGAACCAAGATTAAGGTACAAATTTACAGTTTATACATTAAATAAGAATTTGCAGATTTTAGTTTAGAGTTTAAGAAATCATATACACGTTTGGAAGCTTCTCTAACTTATCTCTGAACATATTTCGCTACCGACTCAAGTGTAGGATCGAACCGATGTAATCCACATGAAGATAACCTCAAGGAACTGGAGAGCAATTTGCTAGATCCTCTTTAGCCTTTAAGAACAAAAAGAAATCAAAGTGTATTTGATTTTTAGCAAAAGGCAAAACTGGCGTGAGAGAATGTTAAAGGGGCTAGAACTTTTAGTTTAATATCATTGAAAATGAATCATTATTTATTTCACAAAGTGTGCACTTTATAACCTAGTCCATCGTGGAATGGGCTTGGGCTCCAACCCAAACACCCCTTGTATCGAAACATCCCTTCTAAGATATTTTAATTTTAATTTATCATTATCTCAATTAAATTCAATTAATATATATATATATATATATGAACATTTAACAATAATGATAATTTATTTAAATATATACGAACACATATTCAATCGTAATCTCACTTATTTAATTTTAACATCAAATTAAATAAAGGCTACGACCTTAGCAAATTTAATTGCACTGTGAAATTACCAAAATACCCTTTCGCCTAAAAATAAAAAAACGCCCTTCTTCTAAACTGGTTTTTAAATTATCTTTTATGTGTGTGACCCGTAGGCTCCTCATCATACCGGTAGTGTGTAGTACCGCAATTAACACCAATTAATCGTCTTACTACACACAGACCAAGATTGGTCCCTACAAGGCATCATGGCTAAGCTACCTGTCAACGATATGGTTACTATGCAATCCGATCATTTCATCAACTGTTATCTTGACGAGACCGAGCCATAGAAATAGTGTCAACCTCGTTACTCTCGATATGTATGTATTCAGTTACTAGACCAATGACCTGAATAATAATCTAGATAAAGCAACAACTCAATCCCACTGTGGCCACAATTTTAGTATCATTGTCATTTACTGAATTGTGCTATCCACCATAGTCTTGATACACTCCTTGATGCAGCCAATGACCACCGTATTGACAACTCTGAATAGAACTGCATTAGGCTAGTGTCAAACTACACCAATCGGTGCACAAGGCGCTCCGGTGATCTCAAGTCTAAGGATCACATGCACCACCATTCGTTAGAGGATTTGTTCCATAGACATTGGGGTTACCATCCATATGGAATCCTCTGGTGGGTCAGTCCAGTGAACTTACCTATAGCAAGCACCCATGTGTTGCACCAGGTCGTCACCAAACAACCTTGACAAGTGAGATCAGTCACTGTCTTTCGACAGGGTCTTTCAAAATATGATAGCCTTACCGTATTATCTGTCCCCTTATTTTAGAATAATACTGGGGCTACGGACATTTCTAGAATGGCCACCTTATGTGCTCATAAGGTTCTCACTATCAAGATTTGAAACACTTGATACCCTCGTCACGGTTCTACCATTCTAAGGATATACATCAATACAACAATGATGATTTATGCGATATAGTATAAAATGCCTTTTATTGATCAATGAACATTATTACAAAGAGTCAATTCTACAATAATTGATTGGCTCCAGGGTGTCTACTCTAACAATCTCCAACTTGCACTATAGCCAATCTTTCATGTATTTCATACTAAATGATCTCAAGTGCCTTTCATGCTTCTGCTGCGACAGAGGCTTTGTCAGTGGATCTGCGAGATTGTCGTCAGTATGCACTTTACTAATTTGCACATCTTTCCTCTCAACTATCTCTCTGATGAGATGGAATCGTCTAAGTATGTGTATGGACTTCTAATGAGACCGTGGTTCCCTTGCTTGAGCTATTGCTCCATTGTTCTCACAATAGATGTCTATTGGATCAACAATCGTGGAAACCACATCAAGTTCGGTGACGAACTTCTTAATCCAGACTGCCTCCTTGGCCGCATCTGATAATGCAATATACTTAGCCTCCATTGTAGAGTCCGCTACGGTGCTTTGCTTGGAGCTCTTCTAGCTCACTGCACCCCCGTTGAGACAAAATACAAACCTTGATTGCGATCGATAATCATCTTTGTTCGTTTGGAAACTAGCATCACTGTATCCTCTTACAGTGAGCTCATCTTCCTCTCCATAAACCAAGAACATATCCTTAGTCCTCTTTTGGTACTTAAGAATATTCTTGACAGCCATCCAGTGACGCTCACCTGGATCTGATTGATATCGACTACAAGCGCTCAAAGCACATGAAACATCAATCCGAGTACATAGCATGGCAGACATGATGGATCCAATTGCTGATGCATATGGGATCCTCTTCATCCTATCTCTCTCATCTTGTGTTCTAGGACACAATTCCTTAGAGAGATAAACACCATGTGACATCGGAAGAAATCCCTTCTTGGATTCTTCCATACTTAATCTTTTCAGTACTTTGTCAATATATGCACTCTGACTTAGGCCAAGCAACCTATGCGATCTATCACGATAGATCTTTATTCCAAGGATGTAGGCTACTTCCCCTAAGTCCTTCATGGAGAAGTACTTGGATAACCAAGTCTTTACCGACTAAAAGTTCGGTATATCATTCCCAATCAGAAGTATGTCATCGACATACAACACTAGGAATGCCACTATGCTTCCACTCACTTTCTTGTAAACACAGGGCTCGTCTTCGTTCTTGATAAAACCGAACTCTTTTACGGCTTCATCAAAACGAATGTTTCAGCTCCTTGAAGCTTGCTTGAGTCATATATGGATCTCTGAACTTGCATACCATAGCTTGCCCATCAAGAATGAAACCATCAGGTGTGTCATAACACATCCTCTTCGAGGTTCATTCAAGAACGTTATTTGACATCCATTTGCCAAAATCATAGTCATGATATGCAGCAATCGCAAGCATAATTCGGATGGATTTAACATGGCAACCGGCGAAAAGGTTTCTTCATAGTCAATACCATGAATTTGTTCGAAACCTTTGGAACAGTTGTGCCTTATAAGTATGCATCTTGCCATCCATGTCAGTCTTCTTCTTGAAGACCCATTTGCACCCTATGGGTTTTACCCCTTCAGGTGGTTCACAAGACCATACTTGGTTCTGGTACATGGAGTCAATCTCAGATTTATGGCTTTAAGCCATTTAACGGAATCTGGATCTGATATAGCGTCTTCGTAGGTTTGGGTTGGGTCATGTCTTGGTAGAATAGTACGTCACCATGTTAAGTCATGAGATAACCGTATCTCTCGAGCTCATGGCGTACTCTCCCAAATCTACGTAGCCCTTGCTACCTGAGGTGGTCCACTTTGATCCACAAGTTATGGAGTAACCGCTCTATAATGTTCAACCCCATCAGTGGCACACTCCCATCCTTGTCTAGTATATTTTGTGGTTCTAGAACTTCATCAAGTTCTACTTTTCTCCCACTAGTACTTCTTAGAAAAACATTTTAGGATGACACCAGAATGAGCACACAAATTTTGCGCTCTTCTGGGTGGTAGAAATAGCATCTTTTGGTCTCTTTGGATACCCCACAAAATACATTTATAGGATTTTGGCCTAGTTGTTCGAAGTCAGTTTCTTAACATAAGCTTCGCAGTCCCAAATCCTTAGATAAGATAAGCGGGCTTTCGCCCCACTCATAGTTCATATGGAGTCTTATCTATAAACTTTGACGGCAATGGTTCAAAACGTGAGTCCAGTCTCTAAGACATAACCCCAGAATGATGTAGGTAGATCACTAAAACTCATCATGGACCTAACCATATCAGTAAGGTCATATTCCTCCCTTTAGAAACTCCATTGTGTTGGGGTGTATACGGAGGGGTGAGTTGTGATATTATCCCACATTACTTCAACTATTCAGAAAACCTTGAGTTTAAGTATCACCTCCTCGATCCGACCGAAGACTTTAATACTTTGCCTAACATATTATGTACTTCATTCTGAATCCTTGAATTTATCAAAGGCTTCAGATTTAGTCTCATAAGGTAAACATAACCATGCTACTGAAATCATCAGTAAATGTGATGAAGTATGAATACCACCTTGGCCTCAACTGTTAGTGGACCAACACATCACTATGGATGATGCCTAACAGCTCAGTAGCCCTTTCACCTTGGTCCTGTGAAATGAGGACTGGTCATCTTGCCTAACAGGCATGACTCGCATACCTCAAATGACTGAAAGTCAAAAGGGTCCAAAACTCCATCCCTTTGAAGTTTTGCAATGCGGGTCTTATTAACATGACCCA